AAATATTATAGCGATTTATGACCTTTGAAGGGTCGAGAGGTATCATATTTCAACAAATTACATATTTGTTCTAAAAATGTAAACAATGTAGCACTAAAACCATGCCTTTCGCTGGACACAACTTTGGCCCCTTCGAACATGTGTTTTTCATTGTAGTCTTGTTTGATTCACAATCAAAAACACTATTTACAGTGTTATTTTGAGGCTTGTAGCCTCGGGTTTTCGTCTTTTATTTCGATATTTCATTCTGTAGCGATGTTAGTGAAGTCAACAGGATATTTTTTGACCGGAAATGCGATTTTGCACAACTGCAATAGTATTTTGGAGGTTCATATCTTCGGTTCAGTACATGCTACGTAGATGAAAATACTACCATTCAATTCAGCGAAATAATATTTCCTGATTCATAATGATAGTTTTAGTCAAAGACAAACATTATAGCGATTTATGACCTTTGAAGGGTCAAGACGTATCATATTTCAACAAATTACATATTTGTTCGAAAAATGTAAACAATTTATCACTAAAGCCATACCTTTTGCCAGACACAACTTCGGCCCCTTCAAACATGTATTTTTGGTTGTAGTCTTGTTCGATTCACAATCAAAAACACTATTTACAGTGTTATTTTGAGGCTTGTAGCCTCAGTTCTTCGTCTTTTATTTCGATATTTCAATCTGTTGTGATATTAGCGAACTCAGCGGGATATTTTTTGACCGGAAATGCGATTTAAATTTGCCAAAACATCGCGTGTTTACATCCTAGCGCTCGGGAAACGTCGGAAATCGATTCTAAAGGTCAAATTACATCTGCAGCATGATTTGCACGTGCATCGGGCTACGGGTACTTCTTATTCGCCAATTTTAGCGTGTGGCAGGCGCGTGCGAGAAAAACCAAGAAAAACTCGATATTTTTAAAAACTCAAAATAAACATTTCTAGTGGCTGTATTCAAGTGAAATTCTGGATATAAAAGCGCTTGAATACAGCACATATTTCACTCATATTGATTTGAGCCGAACTCTGAAGAATTCTCAAGTTATTTACGCTATTGTGGAAACGAAATTCCGAAATTTTGGCCAAGCGGTGAGTAAATATATGATTGTTTCGGTTTGTGTAATACTTTGACGGCATTCAACCCCCCGTTGAAAAGGTTATTTTATTAGGATTTCAATGGTATTCTTTGTTTTAAAGGGGGGTGAATACGCGCTGAGATATTTACGTTATAAACAATTGAGTTGTAAAATCGTCAAAATGTCGCTTGTCGATAAAGAGTTAAATTAAAAAACTTAAGCTTTGTTATTGGTCATTTTAAAAAACAAAAAGAACATTTTTTGAATTAGCTGTATACAAATAAGTTCTATCAAATGAGAATTTAGTAATTTATGTACTATATACTATATATCCAAATAAAGTTGGCAACCAAATCGTGCAACTTACATTATTATTCTCGCTAACATCAATATCACTGGTCGCATGTAAAGCCTCCAGTTCCTGCAGTGCATGGTTATCTTGCTTCTTTTCTTTCATCTTTGGTAAATAAATAAACATTAAGAATAAACTTGTCACATATAACATGTTAACTATTCCATTCGTCTAACGAAATAATTATTCAACCCTGAAGAATAAAATTCCTGCAAACTTTCCTTGCTTTCCCATCTTAGGAAACGCTATTACAAAAACAAATTTTTCTGTCCGGGATAAGCTAAAGTACTTCACAACAAATTCAGAAACATATTTTGTTTATGTTGTAATTTTAGTTTGTTTCGTGTTTTTCCAGGTTATGGAAACATAACTAGGAATATACCAAAACACATTCTGGAAACATAGCGGGAAACAATGTTTCTGCAACAATATTTGCTAGTTCGCCCAGTGCTTTAGTGTCATAGTAAACAAAATACATACAGGTGAAATGTTTTCCAACTCGTTATTTCGTATCATATACCGCTGCTCTCTCCACCTGCAAAGAAAAATCTGGTATAAATATTGATTCTTTATATTATAAAGGTTGAGAGGACTAGTGAGGTAAAAGGAAGCCAGAATGTCTGGAAAGGTCCGGAAGTGTTAGAGCACCCAAACTTTTAACTTTTGCACTTTAGCGGAAGTAGAAAACACATTCTAAGGGGAGGTGCACACAGGTACAAAATTAATTTAATACTATTGCAAATGCAAAAACATTATAGTTAGACCATATAGGTTCACACACCCCCTCTTTTTTTTCTATCCCCCATTACTATTACTACTACATATCATTTTGTTCATTGCCACAAGCACATGCAAGGCATATCCATGGCCGGCATAGGCCATCCGTGTGCCCGTAGTCCGTAACTTATTGCCTTATTATTATTTTAAATCCACACACTGAATTATATATATATCTAATCGTATTATTACTATTACAAAATCGTTTATTTTAGTTGACCAAAAGCAAACCCCAATAGTGATGTTACAATGCATGTTACAATGCCATTCAATATATAATTGGTACGTATATTTTTTATTGTAGAAACTCAGATGTAGGAAAGCTGTGCTGGATATCAGTTCTATGTGGGCGGAACGCGAAAAGGCTAACATGAAGATCAGCCTTGTCAGGGAATCAATGTTGCCAGAAAATAGCGAAGATGAACCAGTGGAAGAAAATGACGAGGCTGATAGCGACGAGGAAGCACCAATGCCAGCCAGAAAGAAAAGTATTGTTGTTTCACCTCTTGCTTGGAGAAGTGAGAGGTAAAAATGAAATTTTGGAGAGCCTGGATCGTAAATGGGTCAGACGCTGCAACAAGTGGTAAACAACGATGATGAAGGAGAAAAGAGTGGGGCCGGAACTCAATCAACCGACCCCGTATGGAATACCACTTTGGATGCGGAAGAGGGCAGGTGATGGCCCTGCGCCTCAGCATTGAAATGTTGCTAAAGGTCCAGACACACCAGACGTGATTCGATGAGACGCGCATTTTTTAGGTTTTGAAAGTTAATAAAACAGCCAATGAGAGCAAATTTTAAAGACCATGTAAAGTCCGTTCTGCACAAACATTTTGTGCAGGCTTACATTCCAATGGTCAGGACCCAACCGTTGGAATGTTATTAATATTTTGTATCTTCTGAACTTTCTTGAATTGACTCACTAGTCTGCCATTCATTTACAAGCATAGCGAACCAGAAGAGTGTTAAAATTCAGTTACATATAATATATATCTAATCATATTTTACAACTATAGCACTGAGTTCGGCAAAATGTAAAATTTCAAGGGCTTTAGACTTAAAGTTTTGTAGTATTATTATACAAACTCATATGAATTATAGAATATATGGCACAAACTATTGAGGTAACCACTTAACCTTAGGGTGAGCTGTTGCATGGTATATAAGCTGCAAGTTCCCCTAATGCGCGGTCGCGTTTAGAGAGTCACACACATATTTACAAGGTATTAGCAAGCTTAAGAGGAGTTTTCTGTAATAGTCAGTCAGGTAAGACGTGTAAAATGAGAAAATTCAAAATCCTTCAAACTTTGTCAGAATGTAGGCCTGTATGAAGTATTAATGTTGTGAAAGTTTTATTTCGATCTGATAAATATTTAAGGAGAGAGACGTCAAAATTGGTTTTCCCAGGCCACTTTCGGTTTTTAGAGGTCATTTTACGACACTACCAAAATCGCTCTATTTTGCACGATAGTGGGAATATTTCACAAAACATGATTTCCTTTTATAAATTAGAGTTATTTTTTTATTAGCAGATGAAATTTAGAGACATTTCTGTAAAAAGTGAATATTTTACAGATTTTCTTAATTTTTTTATTTTCGAACCTCTTTATTATATGCCATATTAGGCAGCGAATATCTCCATTGTTACATCGATTCTGACAAAAAATTCATAACCAGGTCAAAAAACACGTTTTCGCTTGCTATTGATCAAATAATATTTTGGGGCAACTTAGAATTGAATTTTTGACGAATTTTTTCGTAACCCCTATTTGACCCGAATAACCATAGGTTATATAATCAGCGTCGAGTCATGTAGTTCAATAAATAACCAAAGAACTCGTCAAAAGCGTTTATTTCTTCGAGTAAACAAGCCTAGGCCTATAAAAACTACCTTAGCTAAAGCTGTACGATTGGTTAGAAGCATTTAGGTCTAAATCACACTGTTTACAGTCGCTTATTGTTCAGGTAATGCCCGATAGCTGGTGGCGCTGATTTGGCAGATTTGGTTTCAATTATATTTTATCAGGGATATGCCGCGATAAGTATATAGCGAGTATATTTCCTCTCCCCCTCCCATAAACATGTGTTCTCTTACGACTCGTCGTGCTTATATACTTTTCGTACATAAATAGTGCACACGCTTTTGGTCAAAAACATCGCATTGTTTTGACGTATTTTTAGTCGTATTTTCGGTTGGGTTAGCTCATTTCGAGCCTCGAGCTCACAGCCGGACAAGAAATGGAAATACCATGATAAAAGATGCAAATTTGAAGATACAGGCTTGCAACTAACACTCTGAATAGTGTTTTTGATGGGGATTCGAACAAGACTATTACAAAGGCAATATGTTTGAAGGGGCCGAAGTTATTTCCGGTGAAAGGTATGGCTAGTCTATGTTTTTGTTCAGACAATCGCGTAATTTGATAGTATACGATCGTGTTAGACTTTCAAACTCCCATAAATCGCTACAATGTTAATAATGACTATAACTATCGTTTGGAGCTTGTTGATCTTTTATTTCTGAATTGAATGGTGGTATTTCTGTCTTCATAGCGTGCACTGAACCGAAGATATGAAATTTCTAGCCGTCAACCTCTCGAGGACGACCTCGCAAAGAGTTGTAATTTAATTAATATTAAAGCTGGATTCTTTCAACGTGATATCTTGCCAAAAGGTGTCTTTTCTATTTTTAAAAAATATTGATTTGTGACTTGGTAATATTAATTACAGTTGCATATTTTATTATTTTGTTATTGCTCAACTCTTATTTTGTTATTGCTCATTTTGTTATTGCTTCTGAGAAAACAGTCAAACTTCAGACCAAACTTCTACACAGTTAATAGTTTAACTGGCCATCACTTTTAAAACAGCAACAAGATAAAGGCAATGTGTACGGGTGAGTTATCAATGAAATAAATAGTTGGTTTACAAAATGAATTCCGTCTTTGTGGATAAAAATGAGTTACAAAAAATCTCTCCTGTATGCGTTAAATGCTACATGTAGGGATTTCCTCCGGTATATTCCTTCTCTTTTGTATGGCTGTTTGTTATATGCGTCTCTTGTCACTCGGCATGGCTGTTTGTGATTACGCGTCTCTTGTCACTCTAATCCAGCCGATTCAGAATGTGACGTTTTTTGGGAAAAACGTTCCAAAAATTATTTTTGCGATAATGGGGGAGGGGTCAAAATACTTTTCAGACGTTTTTCGACCTCAATTTTCAGAACACGTTGTGCAATTGCAGCATTCCGGGACCCCCTCTGGGAAAGTTGGGCCCCCTTTCAAGTTGACTTTTTTTTGGACTGAGTACTGCCTGTGTTCTAGATGTATCATCCAGAAGTGGTTGGATTAATGTAATTGAAATTGGACCAAAAGTATATGTCAGATAATGCGTAACCACAAACAACCATACAGAAGAGAAGAAATATATACCGGGGGAAATCCCTACATGTAGCTTAACACATACAGGAGAGATTATTTGTAACTCATTAATTTTATCCACGAAGACGGAATTCATTTTGTAAACCAACTATTTATTTCATGGATAACTCACATGTACACATTGTCTTTATCTTCTTGCTGTTTTAAAAGTGATGGCCAGTTAATAAAACTACTAAATAAGTAACTGCGTAAAAGTTTGGTCTGAAGTTTGACTGTTTTCTCAGAACAAATTCAAAGTTATTGTAATATTGAGCAATAACAAAATAATCAAATATACAACTGTAATAAATATTACCAAATCATAAATCAACAGTCGGTCGTTTTGAAAAATAGAAAAGACACCTTTTGGCATGACATCACGGTGAAAGAATCCAGCTTTAATATTAATTAAATTAATTGGGTGAATTACAATTTCAACGTAAGCTGACCGAAGTTTTTGACAAAAAGCGTGTGCACTATTTATGTTCGAAAAGTTATAAGCACGACGAGTCATGAAAGAACACATGTTTATGAGAAGGGGAGAGAAAATATACTTGCTATACTTATCGCGGCATATCCCTGATAAAATAGAATTAAAACCAAATCTGCCAAATCAGCGGCACCGGCTATCGGGCATTACCTGAACAATAAGCGACTGTGACAGTGTGATTTAGACCTAAACGCTTTCTGCCAAACATACAGCTTTAGCTAAGGTAGTTTTATACGAGCTCTTTGGTTATTTATTGAACTACATGACTCGACTTTGAATATATAACATACGGTTATTCGGGTCAAATAGGGGTTACGAAAAAATTCGTCAAAAATTCAATTCTAAGTTGCCCCAAAATTTTATTTGGTCAATAGCAAGCGAAACATATTTCTTTGACCTGGTTATGAATTTTTTGTCTGAATCGATGTAACAATGGAGATATTCGTTGCCTAATATGGCATATAATAAAGAGGTTCAAAAATAAAAAAACATTAAGAAAATCTGTAAAATATTCACTTTTAAAAGAAATGTCCCAAAATTTCGTCTGCTACTCAATAAATAACTCTAATTTATAAAACGAAATCATATTTGGTGAAATATTTCCATTATCGTGCAAAATAGAGCGATTTTGGTAGTGCCGTAAAATGACCTCTAAAAACCGAAAGTGGCCTGGGAAAGCCAATTTCGACGTCTCTCTCCTTCAATATTTATCCGATCGAAATAAAACTTTCACAACATTAATACTTCATATAGGCCTACATCATGGGCGTACCGGGTGGGGGCGGTAGCCCCCCAGTTTGTTGGGCAGTCGGGCAATATTCGATGAACAGTCGGGCAATTTTGGTT